TAAATATATTGTAAATAATAGCCCCTTGGACAAGACAAAACTTCAAAAAATGACAGAGTGGTAACTTTATAAATGTTCATATCAATAACAATTTGAAAACATTTACCTTTGTACCTTCAGTTTCTCTTAATAAACATGGTTCCACTACCACAAGATGTTTATCAGTCACATGAAGGCATTGCAGTACTTATGCAACCTCAACATGAAACATTTCTTCCTAATCAGTTTATTTTCAAACAAAAGGCCATTTACAGGTTAGTTTTCCTGTCTTCTTTTAAAGGATGAACCTTTCTTCCAACCAAAAAGTTCATTAAAAATTCTTTATTTAATATATTCTCTCATTCAGAGAATAAACTTGATAAACATAGGTTGTTTTAAAATACTATAGTTGCTTTTTGACAGGTAATTTGATTAGTAGAGTTATAAAATACAAAAAGGAGAAAAGGATTACCAGAAATAAGACATTATTTCTACCAAAGCTTCAGGAAAATCTTGATTATTAAAACCCTAGTATCTTACAAGTTTTGCATATATGGTTCTAGCTCTTCAGAGCCTTCTACCAATAAGGCACCTGCAATAGTAAAGAAGTTGCTACTGCAGCCTTGGGAACATGTCTTAGTGTTGTAGTGAAGCTTCTCTGACAAGATACACTTTTAATCAAGACAGTCACACGTTTATGTACATCCTAAATTCCAAGTATAAATACTATAATTGAACTGATGGACGGGAACAACACACAGATCCTTAGATTAACCATAGCAGCCTCTCAACAAGTTATTTCAATATCATAAAAATGTGAAATGTTAACACAGAAGTGGGATGGCAGCTGATTTTATGAAAGCTCACTCATTGAAACTACACATGAAATTTCAAGCTGTGGCGTGGAGCTATTCTATTACCAGGCAGCATCCCCTCACTGTATAAATAGCAACTAGCTATTGGTTTCTTACAACCAAACTAATGATGATTTGAAGATCAACATTGTCCATTGCCCTATTCATGACTCAAAACGGAGAATTCTTCCTGTCTGTTGATTCCTTTTAGCTTATTTAAGATAAGCTCTGAAAAGGAAAGAGATCAAATGCAATATAATCTCCTGGAGTATCAGCTCCTTACTGCAGACTTCCTTGACAGCAACAGGAGCCTTTGCTTTGGCCAGATTGCAGCAGGTTCCAAATTAACGTCCTGTAAGGATTCCCATGCTTGTGGAGAACATCATGCAAACTTCTTCTTGGTGGCTGTGAACCTCTCCATGTACTAAAAGTCACGAAAGAAAAAAAATATATATGTGCTGTTTTGGCATGAGCAAATACTAACCTTTTTCATATGATTTTTTTTTCCATTTAGGTTTTTATTGGATATGGTCCCTTATTTCCTACAAAATCTACCTATTCTAAATGCAAATCTAAAGCACATTAGTTTTGGGGTCTTTTAAGCTTTTCTTTGATATTTTAATAGAAAACCTATCAAAAGACAAAGATGCTTTACAATACACCGTCTAGAGAAAAAGTCATCTTGGTACAATACGAGTGTATATACCAGTACATCTTTGTACAAGAATTTGGCTGACTCTTAGAACTCACCTCCAAAATGGGAAACAGATCCTGTTGACAAATAGGATTATCCATGCAGCCTGTGGCTATAAACATTCATGTGGGTCACTTCACCATTCTCTTCTCTGGAGCAGTGACTAGAAATGCAGAAGTATATGAATACATACCTTCTCATAGCCTTCTAGTTCTCGAAGTTTCTTTATCTCAAAAAGGTTGCCTTCCACAGCAAGCAGACAGATCTGGGAATCACTGAGGATGCTCTGTGGAAGCATGCTGAGCTCAAGGCAGTTCTCTTCCAGGCGAAGAACTTTAAGGCGAGGACAGCAAGATATCTTTACTGAGATCTGAGATATCTATTTAACAACAAAAAATAACAGGAAAAAGTATAAGCACTGTAATGGTTATTTTTTACTAAATTAAAACAAAAAATCTTTACCTGACAATTTGTCCTAGTTCTCTTTTTACCGCCTCCATTTTCTTACTACCTACTCATTCCAGAAGCCTCTGTCATGTAGCATCTGTTACTACTCCTCCACTTTTTTGGGGGGTGGGGAAAGAGCACTTGCTTTGGAACCAGTGGCTTTTGGAAATAAAATTTTCTGATAATAAAAGCACTATTTATTATAGAAAACTTGAGAGTCAAGTTTTTAAATTTAAAGAAAAGAACTGCAATCTACCAGCAATAAACATTTTGGTACATTCACTGCCAATCTTTTATGTGTATATAAATGCTTGATTGTACTATCCCTTCCTTGAAACTCCCTACTGTATCTAAGTACTGAGTTTTTCTAACTTTTGAATAATTCATTTTTAGCTTCCTTTCTTGTTCCTATGGACATTTTTCAAGCAGTAGCCACTAATACTTAATATTTGATCATCTGTCTAAACCAGTGGTTCTCAACCTTCCTAATGCCACAACCCTTTAATACAGTTCCTCATGTTGTGGTGACCCCCAACCATAAAATTATTTTCGTTGCTACTTCATAACTGTAATTTTGCCACTGTTATGAATCATAATGTAAATATCTGTTATGAAGGAGTATTTTCATTGTTACAAATTGAACATAATTAAAGCATAGTGATTAATCACAAAAACAATATGTAATTATATATCCGATGGTCTTAGGCGACCCCTGTGAAAGGGTCGTTCGACCCCCAAAGGGGTCGCGACCCACAGGTTGAGAACCGATGATTTAATGTTTCAACACTGTGTCTTATGTCTAAACCAAAGATTGTTTCTCCAGTTATACATAATAACCAAAGAGCTTCCGAAGTAATGGAAACAAATTTCAAATATTACAATCAAAGCTGTCCAACAAGGAAATGAGCTATCTCCAGAATGCCTATTGCTGATGTTTCTTAGCAAAAGCAGAACACACATTGACAAAGATGTCCAAAAAAGGACAACAGATTACCTCTGATGTCTAACTCTGAGAACCTATGAGTATAAGCCTCTTTTCCACTCTATCTTTCTGACAGCTCCATATAAATATTATTGATTTCAGAGAGGAAGGGAGAGGGAGATAGAAACATCAATGATGAGAGAGAATCACTGATTGGCTGCCTCCTGCACTCGAGCCCACAACCCGGGCATATGCCCTGACCGGGAATTGAACAGTGACCTCCTGGTTCATAGGTCGACACTCAACCACTGAGCCACGCTGGCTGGGCCTGACAGCTCCTTGTTAGATGACTGGAGACATGTTTGAAAAGGATCTGAAGAACTCTTCAAGATTTGTGAGACAGTAGTTTAACTTTTGAAGTTAGCACCCCGTTACCCATCCCAACCTCTCTATAAAATACCTACACAACCAACACAACCAGTGTCTCAACTCTCTCCACGGGACTTTGGGCCTTGAAATTAGTCCAGCCCACAGAATATACTTCTCATCCAGCTTCCGATGCCCAGCTCCATGATTACAGTTTAGAGAAAAACAGATTATTCAGGATATATATTAGAAAGGAACCCTTAAGCTCTCGACCTGGTTCTGGTTGAGGTTGAGTTCGATGACCTGCAGCTCCCCCACTATGTCAGGTATGCTCCGAATCTGGTTCTTGGAGAGATCCACCACATCCAGGTGCTGCAGGTTACAAAGCTGGGGTGGTAGTGCTCGCAGCTGGTTCCCAGAGAGGCTCAGGGTCTTGAGGGCAGACAGTTGCCCAAAGGTAGACGGCAACTCTCTCAAGTGATTGTTGTTCAGGCTTAGCGTCTCCAGTTTTTTCAGATTGCATAACTCACCAGGAAGAACAGCTGGCAAAGATAAAAAACACAGAAACCTGAATCTGATACAGCTGAAAACACCTCTGATGAAATTTATAAAAGCTACATGGCAGCCTGCTATGCCTCTTGTTAATATACACAGAATTCCCACGTGTGCCATTTTTAAGTATTGCATTTTTACCAACATAGTCCTCAGAAGGGGAGAGTGCCATCAAAATGCAAGAAAGCATGTATGTGTATAGTTTGTGCAGGAGCCTCCGCACAACCTGACAGCAATTTCGTGGCGTTTGGAAAGTCCCTCCCCTCCCATTGCCTCGTCCAAATCTCCCCAGTCCCAATCGTTTTACCACCAGAGGCGGCTTGTAGATGTAATTACAAGAGAGAGAAAACTTCAGGGACTCTGACAATCTCCTGCGTCTTGAGCAGCCGGAACGGTTTCATAACAAAACATTGGCTTGTGAGAGAACACCACCCTCCTTCACAGCCGACCAGTAGTAGCAAAAGCTACCCAGACGCAAAAGCCATACTCAGTTTGTTGTTGTTCAAGGAGAGGCTCTTGAGCAGCGTGAACTTGCCGATAATCACAGGCGGTAGGCTCTCGATCCTGTTGTTGGATAAGTCGATGGTCCTGAGATTGCTCGTCAGCTTCTGTAACTCTGAAGGGAACTGGAGAAAGGGGCTCACAGCGCGGAGAACCCCTCGCCGGTTAACTTCACCGCCCCCGCCACCCGTCTCCCGTGTCACCCCCAGTCCGGTCCCTCCCAGCCTCACTCACCTCGGTCAGCCCACGGTCCTTCAGCTGAAAGACCCCGGTTTTCTGCGCGGTTTCCACGTGAGCGCGGAGGGCACTGTTTCCCATCCTGGCGCCGCGGCTCGGGCCCCTGCGGGAAGGAAGTGCAGCTGTCACCCCGCGGTCCAGGCGCGCAGCCACCCCGCCGGCCTCCCGGCTGCGCGTCCCACCCTCGCCGGCAGGACTCGGAATCCGGGCGGGGAAGACAGGGAAGGGCGGGCGGCCCGACCACCAGGCCCTGCCGCCTGCCGCTGCAGCAGCCGCTCCGAGGCTAGACGCCGCCAGGAGCCCGCGGAGGACCCGGGAGCCCCGGACTTGCTCACGGCGGGCTCTGAAGACAACCCGGGAGGCGCGCGAGCCTGCGGGGCGCTTCCCGGGCTTCCGCCTGAGCGGACCCGCCCCGTGACGTCATCGAAGCGCGCGGCGCGGCGGGCGGGCGTTCCACTCATTCCCGGCGCCGCTCGGGGAGGTGCGTCTCGGGCATGGCTGCGGCCGACCCTGGGGACCCGGCGCCGGCGCCAAACCCTGCCGGGCTACTGCTGGGCCATATCGTGGCCTCGGGGACAGTCGCTCAGGTAGGTGGGCGGCGATGGCGTCATTAAGGGGGGGCCCCGGTGGCGACAGAGGGAGGCTGTGAAGCGGTTCTGGCTGAGGCTGAGCCAGAGGAGACGCGGGCGGAGCAGGTTCCTGGCCACGGCAGGTACCGTTCTGCGAAAGCGGGGTTCTGAGTAGGTGACGGCTCCACGAGACGGGCTTTCGGGTGTCTGCAGGCGAGTTATCCCAGGTCTGTTCGTGGGAGATAATAAAGACCGGTTTTCCCGCCTTTTTCCCCCTCCTCCTTCTTCTGAAACAGTAATCCCTCCTTTGGAAAACTGCTGTTTGAACTACTCTGTTATTCTTAGACAGTCTCTTATTCTGTAGGTCAACTCTGTTGTTTTTAGACTGTAAAATAACTTTGTTTTTTGTTTGAATAGAAAAGATAAACTTAACTGTCTGACCTTGCAAGCTAGCCATCTAAAGGGGCTGATACACTGATACTGATATTAATTCACATATTCTGCCGAGTGTTCGTTCATCCAAGGTTACAGGTGTCTGTATAGATATGATATGGTACTCAAAGTTACAAGTTGTCTATAGATATGACAGGTGTTTGATTAGGTATAATATGTACTCAAAGTTTCAAGTTGTCTATAAATATGACAGGTGTTTGTTAGGTACGATACGTATTCAAGGTTACAAGCTGTCTTACACAAAGAACCAGAAGGTTATAAAAAAAAAAAATACTCCCTCCTGTGTTTGTTCAGAATCTGACAGAGGAATCTGCCCTGAACCTGCGAGCAGTAAAGATGAATCCGAACTAATTGGCTGATTAAGGCGTCTTGTCCATCTGACACAATACTTCAATCTAGGGCAGTGGTCGGCAAACTCATTAGTCAACAGAGCCAAATATCAACAGTACAACGATTGAAATTTCTTTTGAGAGCCAAATTTTTTCTTTTTCTTTTTATTTATTTATTTTTTAAATATATTTTATTGATTTTTTACAGAGAGGAAGGGAGAGAGATAGAGAGTTAGAAACATCGATGAGAGAGAAACATCGATCAGCTGCCTCCTGCACATCTACGAGGGATGTGCCCGCAACCCAGGTACATGCCTTGACCGGAATCGAACCTGGGACCTTTCAGTCCGCAGGCTGACGCTCTATCCACTGAGCCAAACCGGTTTCGGCGAGAGCCAAATTTTTTAAACTTAAACTATATAGGTAGGTACATTGTTATTAACTTAATTAGGGTACTCCTAAGCTGGCCTTTGCTAAAAACGTCCTCAATCTGATTGAGGTACGTTCTCTGAGGTCGACCCCTTCCAACTCTCCCATCCACACTCGTCTTGTGTACTTGTTTCGTCTATCTCAGTGGTCGGCAAACTCATTAGTCAACAGAGCCAAATATCAACAGTACTTCTTCAAAATAGACTCGCCCAAGCCGAAAACCAACTTCTGCGCATGGGCCACGAAGTTTCAATCACACTGTACGTGCGCCCGCACATGGTCTTTTGTGGAAGAGCCACACTCAAGGGGTCAAAGAGCCGCATGTGGCTCGCGAGCCGCAGTTTGCCGGCCACTGATCTAGTGCTACCATCTCTAGATTGTAGTGAGTGACGGGTTGGGGAACCGGCTAATTGAAGCATACGTTCCCTGACAAGTGAGGTATTGAAGCATGTTTGGGGCGGGAGGCGCGAGTACCCGAGAGCGCCAGGGGAAACGCGCATCTTTAAAGGCCCCTCAAAAATGTATTGGTGATAAAGACCTGAAAGACCTTGTAACATGGATGGAGGAAGGGACTAATTTTGAGAAGGAGAGACCAGAGGTTACCGTTAGCCCATGGGGTGGGTGGTCTTAGGTTTGGCAAGAAGAGCGTGTTCATAGGCCAAAGGGAAGAAGCCAATAGAGGGAGAAATGGAAGATGTGAGGGAATAATGGAACACAAGTGGCAGAAGTGACATGGGAATCGGAATGGAGGGAAACAAGGAAGAAAATTTTAGAGAATGAGGAAGTTGAGGAATATCACTAAGAAAGGAAACAGAAAGGTAAAATCATCCGCAGAGATTAGCAATATAAACATGATGAAAGATTGACGGAAAATACACCACTTTTTATACTTAGAACATTCTACTACCTGACAGAATGGAAGAAACTAAGGCCTAAGGAGACCAAGAAATTTGCCCAGGGTCACTTAACGAGTGAAGCAGGGTTAGGTACCAGCGTTCTCCCTTTCCTGACAGCATCTCGAAGACGGATTGTGGTACATACTACTGTGACCCGATCTTGAACGTTTAAACTTCTGTTGAAGAACTCTTCTAAATTCCTGGAAGACCTAAGTAACAGGAACTTCTGGATTGTGTGGTGGGGGTACAAGGAGTAGTAATGAGTACATTGGAAAATAGGTAAAACGTAACTACATCACTCACCAGTTCTTGCCTTCCTGGCTTCTCTCCTGTGTTTTCTTCCTACCAAGTTGCCTAGTACTCTCACCTGTTACCAGTTCTGTAACAAAGTAATTTAATAAACCCATTCTGTAAGACATTTGGGACTTATCCCTGTACACCTACTGACAGAAGGTAATAAACACCTAAACTAAAGGAGTAAGTCTCCGGTGAGAGGATTTTAGGCATTGATGGGTGAGCTGTTTGTTGGTGTAGTGGTGGTTTTGGGGAGGATCTTCCTAGTGTCCTTCAAGTAACACGAATTAGACAGTTACCTGTTTTGCCTAGGTAAGTTCTGCCAATCCATAGCTCCACAAGACCATCTTACAGTCTTACCGCACTGCCAATCCCAATGAAGAACGTTACAGATTTGTAGCATGATTTTACTTTAAGCAAACTTTACATATGAAAACCTACTTTAATTAGAAGGGTTTAGCATAGGTTCTTTCAAAATGAAGCATTACATGATCCCTTTAAACCAATGGTTCCCAAACTTATTTGGCCTACCGCCCCCTTTCCAGAAAAAATATTACTCAGTGCCCCCTGGAAATTAATTTTTTTTAAATTTTAATAGCAATTAAACAGAAAGATATATGTATTAATGTTTCTACCTTTTTCGTAAAATATAGTAAAGAAAGGTGTAAATTAGAAACATTGAAGTTTGAAATTATGACACTATTTATTGAACTCAGAATAGAAAGGTAATACAAAAAAAGTTAAATGCACCTGTGGCCATCACCGCCCCCCTGGATCGCTGCAGCGCCCACCAGGGGCGGTAGCGCCCACTTGGGAATCGCTGCTTAACAGCCCATTTCTTAAGTGCATACATCATTCCATGTGCATTAAAAATTAAGAGTAATGCTTAAAATTGTTGTGATACAATTCTAGAAAATATAGCTTGTTGAGTTTTGATCTATCCATTGGAGAACGATTTAGTGAAAGAAAGGTAGGATTAACTGTCTGTAGAATAATATGGGGTATTTGCTTTCTTTTATGCTTTAGTGGCCTTACATTCTAGATCAAGCATGTCAAACTCGTGGCCCACAACGAATATTTTTGCGGCCCAGCCAATATAACAGTATGTAAGAAATGGTTTTAATAAATATTTTGTAACTTAATTTTTACAATATCCTGTTATACATAATTACTAATAATGAACTACAACGTTCGCTAATGACTGATTACTATAATCATGCTGCATTTATTTCCCTTACGTGCCTTATGCGCAGGCGCACCATTTCTCTCCACTAATACTAACAGCGAATATTTTAGTAGCTGTTGATTGCCACATCATTAGTCTTGGACTGACTTGTTTGGTGTGCGCAACAGGAAATATTTCACTTTTGGAGAACAAGAAAAATAGGTTTATTTGCGTTATGTTTATTAATTTGTGCAGTTATTCAGTGTCTGGTAAGTTACTGTTCAAGAAAAAAATATTAAGTTTTATTAACATGTTCTATTATTTTATGTTAAGGATTACTCATTTATTTCAGCCCTTTGTATTCAGCATGTCTCTCAAAATAAACCTACGTTTTATGAAAATTGAAGCTTTTGTTTTTTTGCGGCCCACATAAACTTAAACCTTGTTTATTAGGCCCATGTTAGCCTTTGAGTTTGACATGCTTGTTCTAGATATTTTTCGGGCAAGTTTGCGTTAGTCATGATATCTTGATTAAAGCTCCCTCTGCTGGCAATGTATACGATAAGGATCTGGATCTACAAAACACCCAAAATCTACTATTTTCTAATATATATATTTTAGGGCTTATTCACAGTAGTCAAATAGAATTTCTGTTTACTAGAGTAATTTGGCTGCTCTTTAATTCCTATCTTTATTTGGCTCTTCCTTTCTTAAAGATTCTTATTTTCCCTCTGGTTTCTATCACAAGTTCTTGGCTAAGCTCCATTACCCTGTTGTTGAACCCAACAGTTTATTAGTTTGCAAGTGAACAACTAAGATTAGTGTATACATATGGAGAGATAGAAAGATACCAGAGAGTGAGTAGGTTACAACGAGAAATGGGAGATATTTTACTTTTCATTCACTTCTACCTAAGAGAGAACAGAAAGAAAAGAGGCTATGATGGAAATGTAGTGTATTAGATGGTTCTCATTTCAGCCCTGATGCACTCTGACAGTGTGAAGTTGGACTAACATTTAACCTTCGAAGTTCTTGGCTAAGCTCCATTACCCTGTTGTTGAACCCAACAGTTTATTAGTTTGCAAGTGAACAACTAAGATTAGTGTATACATATGGAGAGATAGAAAGATACCAGAGAGTGAGTAGGTTACAACGAGAAATGAGAGATATTTTACTTTTCATTCACTTCTACCTGAGAGAACAGAAAGAAAAGAGGCTATGATGGAAATGTAGTGTATTAGATGGTTCTCATTTCAGCCCTGATGCACTCTGACAGTGTGAAGTTGGACTAACATTTAACCTTCGCAATTTTCAATTTTTGCCATCAGTAAAATATCTTGTTACCTACCTCAGTGAATGGCTAGCTATGTGTCCAGTCACCTGAAGCAGGATCCTTGGAGTCAGTATTAACTTGACTTTATCCCTCATTACCCATATCAACTAGGACTTGTCAATTCCGTCTTCCCAGGGATTCATATCTCTGCCCACTTTCCTTTTTAACTGCTACACCTATTCCACATTGTCATCATCTCACCTGGAATGCTATAGTAGCTTCTTATCTAAATATCCAATCTTCACTCCTCCACTAGGTTTTTTTGTTTGTTTGTTTCATATTGTTGGCTACTTACCAGAGTGTTTTATATTCTAATAAAATGCATGTTATTTTTGCCATGTTAACCATCTTAAAGTGTACAACTCAGTGGCATGAAGTACAGTCACAATGCTGTGAAACTATTTTCAAAACTATTCTTTTATCATTCCCCAATGGAAATCCCCTACTCATTAAGATGTCACTCCCCATTCCTTCTTCCCCCAATCCTTTTAGTTTTATTTTTCACTAGAGGCCCGGTGCATGAATTCATGCATGGGTGGGATCCGGCTTGCCTGCCTGATCGGTGTGGGGGGGGGGGGGGATGGAGGGGCGGGCTGGCCAGGGGGAGGGGCTGTGGGTGGTTGGCCAGCCGGCCCCGCCCCCTGGTCGAACTCTTGGTAGAGGGGACAATTTGCATATTAGCCTTTTATTATAGGACTAGATGCCCGGTGCACAAAAATTTGTGCACTCGGCAGGGGGTCCCTCAGCCCAGCCTATACCCTCTTGCAGTCTGGGACCCCTCAGAGGATGTCCACCTGCTGGCTTAGGCCCGCTCCCTGGGGGATTGGGCCCAAGCTGGCAGTCAGACATCCCTTTGGCAGCCCAGCAGCCCTCGGGGGATGTCCACTTACCAGCAGGGAGCAGACCTAAGCTGCAGTCGGACATCCTTAGTGCTGCTGGGGAGGCGGGAGAAGCCCGCTCTGCTGGCAGCCATCAGCCTGGCTTGTGGCTGAGCAGAGCTCCCACTGTGGGAGCGCACTAACCACCAGGGAACAGCTCCTGCATTGAGGATCTGCCCCCTGGTGGTCAGTGTGTATCATAGTGACCAATCATTCCCAGTCGTTCTGCTGTTAGGGTCAATTTGCATATTACCCTTTACTATATAGAATAGAGGCCTGGTGCATGGGTGGGGGCCAACTGGTTTGCCCTGAAGGGTGTCCCAGATCAGGGTGGGGGTCCCGCTGGGGTGCCTGGCTAGCCTGGGTGAGGGGCTGATGGGTGTTTGCAGGCTGGTCACACCCCCTTCAGGGTGGGGGTCCCCACTGGGGTGCCTGGCCAGCCTGGGTGAGGGGCTGATGGGTGTTTACAGCTGGTCACACCCCCTTCAGGGTGGGGGTCCCCACTGGGGCGCCTGGCCATCCTGGGTGAGGGGCTCATGGATGTTTGCAGGCTGGTCAAGCCCCCTCCAGTGGGGACCCTCATCCCATGGAGGTTTGGCCAGCCTGGATGAGGGGCTGATGGGTGTTTTCAGGCTGGCCACACCCCCTTTAGGGTGGGGGTTCACCACTGGGGTGCCTGGCCAGTCTGGATGAGGGGCTGAGGGCCGTTTTCAGGCTGGCCAAGCCCCCCGGCGACAGAAGCTCCCAGCCTCTCCTTTTTTTCTTTTTTCTTTTATTCTGGGATTTATTTACCTTCTATAATTGAAACTTTGCAACCCTGAGTGGGGCTCAGAGCTGGCCAGGGTGGGCAGGAAGCTTGGCTTCCTCCTTCGCCAGGGGCAACCCAAGCCTCCTGCTCGCTCCAGCTCCGTGGCCACGGCCGGCTGGAAGCAGGTATCTGGGGTTTATTTATCTTCTATAATTGAAACTTTGTTGCCTTGAGTGGAGCTCAGAGCTGGCCACGGCAGGCGGGAAGCTTGACTTCCTCCATCACTGGGGCAACCAAACCTCCTGCTTGCTCCAGCTCCATGGCTGCCGGCTGCCATCTTGGTTGGGTTAATTTGCATATAGTTGCTCTGATTGGCTGGCAGGTGAGGCTTAAGGCATAGCGAAGGTACGGTTAATTTGCATGTTTGTCTTTTATTAGTGTAGATTGCCAATGCATGTCATATGTGCCAGGCAGACTGTTGGCCATTTAGCCTTTTATATATATAGATACTACCCACACTTACATTTCTATGTGTGTTATACATGGTGTCCTCAAAAAATGTGTACACACTTTGAATGATTATAAAGTCAGTTAATTTTCAAAATTTAAAAGGATCTACAGAAATGAGTAATTTTTTTTGTCAATGCCTGTTTTCAAACTGATGACCATTCTGGTCCAAGTACTGCTGATAATGCAAAGTGGTGGAATCGTAAATATCAAGAATCATTTTGTGTGGTATTTGTGTGCCCTCAACTCATTGACTGTTGCCAGCTTTGTACTGTAAACTTTATCTTTTATGGGTCTTCATAAAAAAAGTCTAGTGGCACTTTAGGATAAATTTTCTTTATTCAAAGCTTGGTTTGGCCTCACCCATTATTTCAAATTAGATAACCTGAAAAGGAGTGAAAATTGAGTGAGTTATCAGCTGTTAAAGTGTGTATACATTTTTGGGGGGACACCCTGTATGTCAAAAGTGAAGATTAATTTGGAGATGTAGTTTTCTGCATAATCACAGAAGAACATACAGGGTGTCCCAAAGATATGTATACATAGTGTAACAGCTGATGGCTCAATTTTGAAAATGAAATGTATTTTAATAAACACTGCCTTTATAATTATTCAAAGTGTGTGTATATATTTTTTTGGGACACCCTATATATGTTAGTACTAACACAATTATTGAGCATTTATAATGTTAAGTCTTTTTATCTAGAATACTTTTTCCTTTCCATCTGTCAGGAACTTATTTTTTTTTAATATATATTTTATTGATTTTTTACAGAGAGGAAGGGAGAGAGATAGAGAGTTAGAAACATCGATGAGAGAGACATCGATCAGCTGCCTCCTGCACATCTCCCACCGGGGATGTGCCCGCAACCCAGGTACATGCCCTTGACCGGAATCGAACCTGGGACCCTTCAGTCCGCAGGCTGACGCTCTATCCACTGAGCCAAACCGGTTTTGGCTGTCAGGAACTTATTAATCCTACCAGACCTAAGGCCCTGAACCTAACTGTCCCCTATACCTGGGCTCCTGAGCATTAAAGAGAAAAAACCAACATGATATAGAAAAATGTTAGTTACATGCAAACAAGTGGTTAGAATAAGATGGAACTTGGAGACATTGTAGAAAATAGGCCTACCTTTCATCTGCCTTTCATCTAGCACCAATATTCCACATTTGTGTGGAAATTACCAAAAAATCAGTACAGCGGTCTGGTAGGGTTAATGGCAGAGAGCTCATTTTATTCTTTTTTTCTTTTTTCTTTTTTTTTTATTTCAGAGAGGAATGGAGAGGGAGAGATAGAAGCATCAATAATGAGACAATCATTGATCAGCTGCCTTCTGCACGCCCCACACTGAGAGGATCAAGCTGGAAACCCAGGCATGTGCCCTGACCAGAAATCAAACTGTGACCTCCTGGTTCATAGGTCAGCGCTCGACCACTGAGCTACTCCAGCTAAGCTTTTTATTCATTTTTGAGTCTTCCATTTCCTATCTCAATAAATATCTTGATTTATTGATTATTACCAGTCAGCAAGCTTTTGCTATGAAGGGCCAGAGAGCAAATATTTGAGGATTTTCATTCTATATGGTTGCAGCTGGGCTGTTTTAGCCTGAAAGTAGCCATAGATAATAATTAAATGAGAGAAGTTGAGTTCCAATAAAACTTTATTTCTGGACTCTAAAATTTGAAGTTATATGCCACAAAAGAATTATTTTTTTTTTTTTTCCCCCCCAACAACTGAAAAATATAAAAACCATTCTTAGCTCATGGGCTGTACAAAAACAGGCAGTGGGCTGCATTTAGCTCATGGGCTATGGTTTCCTAACCCCTATCCTATATGATCTGTAAAGTTCTTTCCTCTGCTAACTTTCTAGAAAAGCAGAAGATACAGAAAATGATGGATGAAGCCAAGAGATGAACAAGATAATATTCTTATTCTGAGATAACCTGCAATTTAAGGAGGCAGTCTAACATAGAATGAAAGGATAAAAAGGAGGGGGTAGTCTTTTTAGAAAAGTAATTATGCCTGGGCAAAACATTCCTTTACCTAAGAGAGCAAGAATGTGAAAAGAAATAGTATGAATGATTTGTAGCAATTGAGGTCATTTAATGAATCTGATAAATGACTCCATGGGGACAGGGGTGGAGGAAATGTTTGATTTTAGCCCCAAGAAGGTCAGAGAGACTAGGTCTTGGTCATTTGTATAGGAGTATTTCTCCAACAACCTCAGCCTTAAAATCTCATAATAAACTATCAGTAATGCAAATCTATTGTGCCTTGTATTTTAGGAAATAGTACAAAGTGATTAAGTCATTTGTTTTTCTTATTTTTTAAATATTTGGGCAAATGATTTGTGATATGGAGGTTTTAAAAACAGGAAATAAACATTGTTACTGTTGTACTCTGTATTGCATTTTTTTAGGGGCAGTGATGGACGTAATATATGCTTATATTTTAGACTCATGGGCATGCTTTTCCAATGCACATAGAAACTTTTTGTGACATGTTGCTGTTTTCTCTGTTTACTTTCCATTAGGAGATATTAGATATATCTAAGAAATCAACTCCTTGCTTTGTGAACTTCTCCAGGCTACAGCAGATCACAAATATTCAAGCTGAAATCAATCAGGTAAATTATGTTGAACTTTTTACTTTTTACTTCTAGTACAGGAAAACAAATCTTAATTGTTTCCAACAGCAATTCTCTTGCACTTAGAACAGTTTCTAGTACTTAACTGGGTAGGTGTTTACTTACGTAGTTTCCTGTTAATGAAATTGTAATAGTAACAGCAGTAGTTGGTAGTAGTAGCAGAAGCAGCAGCAGGGTTTGCACACCAATGTGAAAAGCTTCAGTGAATCACCTGAGCTCTCATAACAAATCCTCCACTCTCCTCCCCCTAAATATTCCTAGATAAAGTCTGTTTTTATCACAGATTATCCTTTAATCAGGCTCTTTTCTGAGTGAGGTAAATATTATTTTTGTTCCTAATGCAGAAAAACCTGGAAATTGAACTTCTAAAACTAGAAAAAGATACAGCAGACATTGTTCATCCTTCTTTTTTGGGTAAGTGGTTTGGTTAAATGGGTGGGTAATTGGAATTTCAACTTTTTCTTGGATTACCTTAAATAAGCACCAGGCATTATGATATACCATTATTTTTTCAGGTATTGCCCCAAAGCTAACAAAGTTTTCTATTTCTGTGTTCAAACAAAAGTCCTGTTGGCTTGCCTAGTGCAAATTGCATAAAAAGTGGCCAAGGTAGGAGCTCCTCAAAATTAGGAGAACTTGAAAAACCAAAAAAAGGCTGAAAAACTTTTCAGGGACTTGACAGCTAAATCACAGTGTGTTCATAGATTGAATACTTGATTAGAAAACTTTTTTTGCTGTCAAGGACATTATTGGGCTACTTGGTGATATTTGAATAAGGGCTGTATTAAATATTGTGCCAATGTTAAATTTTCTGAATTTGATACTTGTGGTTATATAAGAGATGGGAAATATATGCTGACATTTTAGAGGTAAAAGGTCATGATATCTGCAACTTACTCTCAGATGGGTCAGCAAAAATATTTGTAAGGGTGTGGAGAGAAAGAGGAAAAGAGAGGCTGTAGCCAAGTGTTATCAGTTAGTGAGTCTAGGTAAAATGTATATGGGAGTTCAATGAACTATTTTTTTTTTTTTTAGTATATTTTATTGATTATTTACAGAGAGGAAGGGAGAGGGATAGAGAATTAGAAACATCGATGAGAGAGAAACATCAATCAGCCGCCTCCTGCACACCCCCTACTGGGAATATGCCTGCAACCAAGGTACATGTCCTTGACCGGAATCGAACCTGAGATCCTTCAGTCCGCAGGCCAACGCTCTATCCACTAAGCCAAACCGGTTAGGGCTCAATGAACTATTCTTGAAACTTTTATCTAAGTTTGAAAGTTAAAAATTTAAGTCCTAGCTGGTTTCGCTCAGTGATTAGAGTGTCAGCCCGAGGACTGAAGGGTCATTTGTTCGATTCCAGTCAAGAGAACATAACTCAGTTGCAGGCGGGATCCCTGGCGCCAGTTGGGGCGGGTGCAGGAGGCAACCAGTCCATGTGTCTCTCACATCAATGCTTCTCTCTCTCTGTGTGTGTCTCTCCCCCTCTCTCCCACTCTCTCTAAAAATCAATGGAAAAAATACCCTCAGGTGAGGATTAACAAAAAATAAAATAAATAAGATAGATAAATAAAAATTTAGCCCTGGCCGGTTTGGCTCAGTGGATAGAGTGTTGGCCTGCGGACTGAAAGGTCCCAGGTTCGATTCCAGTCAAGGGCATGTACCTTGGTTGCGGGCACATCCCCAGTGGGAGGTGTGCAGGAGGCAGCTGATCGATGTTTCTCTCTCATCGATATTTCTAACTCTCTAGCCCTCTCCCTTCCTTTCTGTAAAAAATCAGTAAAATATATTTTTTTAAAAATTTAAAAGAAGAGGCCATTAACTGAATTCTAGAGCGAATATTGAAATGATCAGAAATAGCTTGTAAGACAAATGTTTGTTTTTTAATGTTTGTGTAGAGTATTAGAGGCAGAGATGGGAAAAGAGATGTTATTTGAAGAATGTGGCACTGGCTATAAAAACTGAACTAGAAGTAGAGTTGAATAACACAGGATTTAGCAGTGGGTTGTCAATAGGAAAAATAAAATGAAATTGATATTGAATATTAGGAATAGCAAAGGGGAGATATTTAGGAGAGCGATGGTGAGATAATTTTGGCTGTATCAAACCAAAGCAAAGAAGAATTTATTAGTGATTTCAAAATTTACTTGTCCTGCTCTGGTCAGTGTGCTAAGTGGTTAGAGCACCCACCCTCTCACTCAAGGGTTGCAGGTTCTATTCCTGGTCAAGGGCACATACCTGGGTTGCAGGCTTGATCCCTGGCGCCAGTCAGGGAGTGTGCGGGAGGCAACCGTTTGATGTCTCTCATTTTCTCTCCCTCCTCCTTTCCTTTCCATTTTCTCTAAAAATCAATGGAAAAATCCTCGAGTGAGAATTAACAACAACGAAAATGTTTCCTTGTCCTATTGCTAACTATAATTACTGTTTCTGGTTTGTGTAGCTCAAAAGTGTCAAACTCTGCAAAGCATGAATAATCATTTGGAAGCAGTGCTAAAAGAGAAGAGGTCCCTCAGGCAAAGACTGTTGAAACCCATGTGCCAGGAAAACCTGCCTATTGAAGCAGTTTATCACAGGTTAGACTAAAAAGTAGACATTAGCAGTTACATGTCTTCTGAAGGTAGTTTAAACTAGTAGTTTTTTCATAGCATAATTCATTGAATAATATATTAGTGATTGTATCTATTAACATTATTACTAACGCTGACACATTAAACCAGAAAGAAAATCCTTGGCTTTAAAAGTATAGTTATGGTGAAAAGAAAGGTATTCCTTTGTTCATAGTGTTTTGGGAATTATAAATAATGATTTTAATGATAGAAATTAGATCCATAACATAGAGTAAATTGGGTAAAATCATGTTTCTTATATATAGACTGCTTTCTATGAAGTAAAGTTATTGTTGCATTAATGTTGCCTATGTAGGGTGGGGCAAGAATAGGATTACAATTGTGAGTTTGGGAAACACAGAGTTCATTCTTGTATTATTATTTATTACGAGGGGCCCAGTGCACAAATTTGTGTACCTTGAAAGGAGCTGTGGGCTGTGAGGCTGTGGTGGGCACAGGGGCGGTTCTCGGCCCATCCTCTGCACCCCTGCTCGGCCCCTCCCACTGCGGCCCCCAGTCCCCTGTCTGCTGGCAGCCCTGCTCCTGCTCCCATGTGCAGACGGTGCCAGCTCCACTGGCACCGACTGATGGCGAGGAGCGATTGGGGCTGGCACTGTCAGCAGGATGCGAGTGGTGGCTGCTGCCCCAGTCGCCCCTCAGGAGCAGGAGAAGGTGGAGAAGCCCTCAGGTGATCAGGGCTGGCAGCCGCTGCTCACACTCGCTAATGGTGCTGAGTGATTGGGACTGGCGCCAGATGCCAGCAGCAGGTGCGAGTGGTGGCTCAGGCACCGGCTGCAGGTGCAAGCGGGACCGGCACTGGCAGTGGGTATGAGCAGTGGCTCCAGTGCTAGCAGCGGGTGTGAGTAGGGCCATTGCCAGCAGCAGGTGCAAAAGGTGGCTGCCGGCCCCGATCGCCCCTCAGGAGCAGGGGGAGGTGGAGAAACCCTAAAGGATGATCGGGGCCGGCACCAGCAGCAGATAAGAGCACCAGGTGGGACTGCGGCACAGGAGCAAAGAAATTTCAGTAACCACCAGAGGCTCACTCCAATGACAGCGACCAGCGCCTCGCCTTGGTTTGGTGCCCCCGCTTACCTCCACCATCCTGCCACGGCCAATGCTCTCCATATTTTGTGCGCACTTCCTGGTGGTCAGCACACCTCTTAGCGACTGGTTGTTTGGTTGTTCTGCTGTTTGGTCTATTTGCATATTAGGATTTTATATATAGAGATTGTATTATTTTCCATACGAACAACTGTAAACCTACTTTTGCCCCACACTATATACACAAATTCTGTTGGGGGAGTTTAAGCAGGGACAGATGAAAACAATGTCACCTAAAGGAGGGGGAAAAACTGAGTTCTGGTCTCATCTCTGTTGTTTATATCCCTCAAAGACTTGGACAAATGATTTAAACTTTTTGCCTCAGTTTCCCAATCCATAGATGCTTTCTGTTCCTTACTTCCTCATGGGAGTATTGCAAGTACCAAATCGAAGATGTAAGTTATCCTATCTAATAAAAGACAAAAAGGGTAATTGACCATACCTTCACTACGCTTCTCATTGGCTAATCAGGGTGATATGCAAATTAACTGCCAAGAAAAATGGCTGTTAACCTCCAACAAAGATGGCGGTTAATTTGCATACGTAGGCGCCAAGCAACGGAGCAAAGCCGGCTGGCCCCGGGCAGGGGCAGCGAGCGAAGGCCAGCGTGGCGAGCGAAGAGCAAAGAGGAAAGCCTGCCACGCCGGCCTCTGCCACGCCCCCAGGCCCGCACTCGGCAAGCGAGGAGCTAAGCCCCTCGCCCGCAGCGCCGGCCCCTCCTGGCGCAGAGCGAAGGCCTGGGTTCTGGGCGCTGGAGGAAAACTGGTACCACCAGCCAGGGGAAGGGGCCTGCGAGGGGCCCCAGACTGTGAGAGGGCACAGGCCTGGCTGAGGGACCCACCTGAGTGCACAAATTTTTGTGCACCGGCCTCTAGTTATTAATAATAAAGTAAAGAAGCAGAAATCTGATTCCTAACTTTCTCCACCAGTGCTCACTAACTGACCCTGAACAAATCAGTATCTTCTCTTGGGTATCAGGTTTTTTATCTTACAGTAATATAATAGATATACAAATCCCATTCTTGTGGATTTATTCAGAATCTATTCAGTACATTAAATATCATTAATGTACATATTATACAATATATATTTTAGAAGAACTGAATAATTTTAAAGCATTTTGCAAATGCACAGATTCAAAGTAGTTTTATTTGTAGGCTATTTCAATGAAGTACATTTGTCCTTATTGTCTTCGCTCATGATTGAGAATTAGTATTTTGAAATGGCTTTATCACTGATAGTTCCATGAATGCAGAAAGATTAAAATTGGCTCATTGGGTTGATTGTAATTATTTTACATCATATTGAAAGTCCTAATTAAAAGGGGAAAAGGAGAACACAAAATAACTACACTAAAACAAAATAATAATTGACTTTTTTTTCCTCCCTCTTTCAGATACATGGTACATTTGCTGGAGTTGGCAGTGACTTTTATTGAGAGATTAGAAACCCACCTTGAAACAATTAGAAATATTCCTCATTTAGATGCAAATCTAAAGAGAATGGTGAGTATTAACAATAGCATTTAAGTACCTCATCAACTCCTTTCATATTACTTTTAGCTATTTTTTAAAATTGATTTCAGAGAGGAAGGGAGAGGGAGAGAGAGCTAGAAACATCAATGAGAAAGAATCACTGATCTGCCTCCTGCACGCCCCCTACTGGGGATCAAACCCCCAACCCTGGGCATATGCCCTGATCAGAATCGAACCCGGGACCCTTCAGTCCTGCTCTATCCACTGAGCCACACCGGCTAGGACACTTTTAGCTTTCTTTAGTTCTGTTTTATACCAGAATCTCAAATGTCTGACCTACTTGTTTAATTTTTTTGATGGTTAATATGAGTGATTTATTTTATAAAATCAAGATGCTATTTCTTTTTTTATATTATTTTTCTTTAAAAGTCATTTTACATTCTTTTATTCCACTACTAGAGGCCCGGTGCATGACATTTGTGCACTGGGGGCAGTGGGGGGTGGAGGGGAAGTCCCCTCAGCCCAGCCTGCGCCATCTTGCAGTTTGGGACCCCTCGAGGGATGTCCGCCTGTCGTGGAGGTGGGAAAGGCTTCCGCCACCACCGCTGCACTCACCAGCTGTGATCCCGGCTTCTGGCTGAGTGGCTCAATCCCCGGTTAGGGCACATACAAGAAAGTCAATCAATTAATACATAAGTGGAACAACAAATTATTATTTCTCTCTCTCTCTCTTTCTTCCTCCCTCCCTGTCTCCCTTCCTCTTTAAAAATCAGTAAATAAAAATTAAAAAAAGAAAGAAAATTAGAAGAGCACAGTAGCTTGAGGGAAGAGTGGTACTCTACTTTGGATGACACTTAAAGGTATTGAGAGGGAAATTAACTCAGGGTTAGTTATGGAATGCCTTGAGACTGAGAAGTTTAGACTTGACTGTCTTAGTACTGGGGAACTATTGAATTTTTGATTTTTAGAGAAAGGCACAGAGGAGTGACTTGATCAGAACTGTACTTTAATAATGGAGAAAATATTAAATAGAGTCGACTGAGCCTTGCCACTCAGCGTGGGCAGAGAACATCAGCATAAGCATCACCTGGAAGTTTGTTAGAAATGCAGAATTGCAGATTTCATTCACTTACCTTCACAGTCTGAATCTACAATTTAACAAGTTCCTCAGGTGATTCCTCTGCACATTAAAGTTTGATAAACTGTGTTAGAGGACTAGGCAAAGAAACTTGGAGAATAAATAAGTTATTCAGATAAAAGATTTAAAGCTGAGGAATACAAAGGATTGTGTAGATTTTTATATTTTGAAGGTCTAATTTCTAGAATATGGCTACTTTTTGGAACACATCCAAAGTAATGAAATTTCTATTCTTGCTGACTTGAGGATGAGTAGGAGCAAAAAATTAAAGAAGTTAATGAGTTTGTTTTTTGTTATGTCTTGCATAGATAGTAAACGTTCAACCTTGGTTGAATTGCAGTTAAATTGAGATTGAATGTATATCCAGATGGAGTTTTCCAACAGATTGAAACGTGGGACTGAATTTTAGGAAGGAGATTAGGTTTGACAATATGGATTGAAGGTCATCTGCATCGAGGTGATAATTGAAGACAGGAGAGGTGACTTGAAGAAAAAGCGTGTCTATAAGAAGTGGGAGAGCACAAATTTAAGGCACCTTTGTATTCAGGGGCTGGAATCATAACCGTTTGTGATATAGTAATGATATATTAATGACAGGCATCATTTCTCTCCTATTTTCCCCTTCCTTCAAATGTTACAGAGCAAGGCTTTAGCCAAGATGGATATTTTGGTGAATGAGACAGAAGAACTGGCAGAGAATATACTCAAGTGGCGAGAACAACAAAAGGAAATTTCCTCTTGTATCCCCAAAATAATAGCTGAAGAAAATTATCTTCAGAAATGTATTGTAACACCGTAACGCCTTCTTTATCTTTACTTCTAAAGTTTATGTCCAAACTATTAATGCCAAATGATACAACTTGTTTAATTAAGCAAAAATGGTTTCTTTTTGCTTAATTGTATGTAGTCGTGTGAAGTCCATTTCTAGTCAATGATAACATGGGTATTTATAGGCTTTGCTGCTAGCAATACTGAAAGAGCCCTCTCTATGTTAGAGTACTAAAATTCCAAGTTCATTAAGACCAAACTAAATTTTCCTTCGTTTTTCATATGTGCACAATGTGTGTGTGTGCACATGCACACACACACAATTTTTTTTGTTTTGTTTTGTTAATCTTCACCTGAGAATATTTCTCCATTGATTTTTAGTGAGAGTAGAAGGGAGGGGGAGAGACAGAGAGAAACATGGATGTGAGAGAAATACATCGATTGGTTGCCTCCTGTACATCCCTTGACCAGGGCCGGGGATCAAGCCTGCAACTGAGGTATGTGCCCTTGACCAGAATTGAACCTGGGATCCTTTAGTCTGCGGGCCAATGGCCAATGCTCTATCCACTGTGCCAAACTGGCTAAGGCTCTTTTTCATATATTTTCATTCCACTTTTGAATAAAACTTATGAAGATCAAGTATAACTGTGGCAGTTTATTAACATGAGTATATTATCTAGATCTCAGGCAGCAGACTCTATATGTCTTTTTTTTTAATGCTTGTTTCTGAATTAGAAAAGTCTTGAATCTAAATATATGTTGATTATTCCTATGAGATTGTCACTAAATGTGCAAAAAATAGTAACATACTATCTTTTCTAAGGCTTGCTTGCAAGGTGGGTCTGGGAACTTAAATTTCAAGAGGTTTCCCTCCACTCTCAATAATAAGAGTTGTTCTCTGTGATGAAGCTGTTTGTACAGTGTGGTTTGTGCTGAACACCTGCTTTCCTTCTGGAAGTCCAAAATTTTGGTACGTGCTAGGCAGAAGGTACCTATGTGACTAGCCTGCAGAAATACGTCTGAGCCTGGCATCTCTTTCATAGTAGACATTGCACAATGTCACAACTCAGGTGCTGAGGGAATTAAGCACATCCTGTGTAACTTCTACTGGCAGAGGACTCTGGAAGCTATCTGTGCCTGGTTTACCCCAGGCTTTGTCCCGTATACCTTTTCCCTTTGCTCTTTTGATTTTATGTTTTTACTGTAATAAATCATAGCCATGAAAACAGTGATATGCTGAGTCCTGTGAATCCTCCAAGCATGTCATCAAACCTGGGTAGTGACGTTGACACTTTGAGCAATTCTTGAGGGTTTTCACTGGCAGCCTTAGAAAGAGGCAAAGAAAAAGGCACCTTATGGCAGATCTTTTAGAGGTTTACATTGTGAGGCACTCAGATATTTTACCTATCTGAGATTATTATGCATACAAAAGGAAGTGGTATACTAAGATTTACTAATACTGAGCCTCAGATGTACTCATTTGTGTCAGTACTATAACTATCCCTGGCTTATTTTTAGATGAGGGGTTCGCTTTTGCTTTAAAAATGTGTGCATCAGCCTTGGCTGGTGTGGTACAGTGGGTTGGGCATCATCCCATGCACCAAAAAGTTGCAGTTGATTTCTCGTCTACTCACACTGGGTCGTTATTTTTATACTGTTACATTCTCTGTATCACGGGGGTTGACCGATCCTTATATTCATCACACTCTTCACAGTGGATGAATAAAGTAGTTGTTCATAAGGAAACAGGATCATTGCCAAAATATATCCTACTAAAACAACCAGTGATCTTTTGAAGCCTACTTTTCTGACTTTTGCAAGTGGGATATAAAACAGGTCATAACATCGCCTAGCACATAAGTAAAACTTTCAGTTGTATTTCATCAGAAATCTGTTCAGGTCTGCTTTTTATAAAAATAAAATAAACTTTTGCATACTCCCAATTGTAAACCTATTTTGCCCCACCCTGTACATAAACTATATCATTTATAATAAAGATAATACATATGTCATGTCTTTTGCAAAATATAAAATAAATCTAATTTCTAACTAAGATTGTGTGTCCCTTACCTGAATTCTGTGTGATAGGAAGGAAAGATTCTCTAACTTACACAATAAAAGTATAGGCATACAGGCTGTCTGACTCACAAAAGCTTGAGGTAAGTTGAGCCTGAGGTCTACTTAAAAGAGAAAAGCTAATTTAGTACTGTGCTGTCGTCAATGAGTGCTGATCAATTTTTTTTTTTAATTCAGCTTTTAGACCTGTGGATACTAAAAACATAGCTCTGGAATGTCTTTCTACTTACACTGGGAAGTGTGTGAAACTTGTGAATTCACTTTCAGTGTAATAATGATGCCGCTTTGTGAGGACTATTCTGGAGGAATTGTGCTGCTGCCTGGTCTTTCTAACACTTTTCGTATTTTACTACTTCCTCTGAAATAGGACTGCCAGACCCCTGATATCCTCTCAAATCTTAACCCCCCACAGCTGAGATATCTTCTGGAACTTCAGCTACGCCTGTGAGAGCCCTGCCAGCCCTCTCGTGCTTCTGCACTTCCTACGAGTCTCTATGCAGTCTCCACTTTCCATCCTTGGTTATAAGGGTTCTCTCCAGCTAGTCTTCAGGTGATTATTCAGGATGGTTTTTCTATATAGTTATAATTCCAGTTTGGTCCTGGGACGGAGAGTGTCAGTGTAGCTTCCACTTAATCGCCGCCATTTTGGAAAAAACTTATTTGAGACCTTGAACCACTTAATTTTCTTGATGTGGAAGCCTAGAAAAAGTGAAAGCTATTTCTAAAAGTTGAAGTAAAATTACATTTCAAGGGTCTGAATACACTTATCAAAAATCAGTTTACCTCAAGATGGCAATATATGCTAATCTTAGATCAGTAGTTGCTAATAAAAATTTATGTAGCATCTTTTCTGCATCTTAGCTTTTGTAGGACATCAAAATTGACCTTGGTTAATGAGGATTTACTTGAAAAACTTTGCTGGCTAGAAGGCTTTCTATAGAATACCTGGAAATAGGTGAGGATCATGGAACACGGTATCAGCAATCCAAATTGGCTGTTCCCCCAGATTGATCTTAATCTTATATTTTTCTATCTCCACCCCCCAAGTTCAGGAGACATAAGAGACAGAGCTTAGCCCTGGTCAGGTAGCTCAACTGGTTAGTGCACCATCCAGCTATGCCAAGGTTGCAGGTTCAATACCTGGTTAGGGCACACACAAGAATCAACCAATGAATGCATAAATAAGTAGAGCAACAAGTCCATGTTTCTCTCCCTCTCTCTCCCTAAAATCATTCCATAAATAGGGCTTGTCTTTAGCTACTAAAGTATGGAAAGTAATAGCAAAAGTTTTAGAATTAGACCTGATTTTGAATCCAGGTTCTACCACTTATTAACTATTTTTTAAAAATGTATTGATTTTAGAACAGCAGGGAGAGAGAAACATTGATTTGTTGTTCCACTTATTTCTGCATTCATTGGTTGACCCCTGTATGTACCCTGACTGGGAATCATACCTGCAACCTTTGTATATTGGGTCAACGCTCTAACTAACTGAGCCACCTGTCCAAGGCTCCATGTTTTCTTTCCTTTCTTTTTTAATATATTTGTATTGATTTCAGAGAGGAAGGGAGAGAGGGAAAGAGAAACATTAGTGATGAGAGAATCATTGATCAGCTGCCTCCTGTATGTCCCCTACTGGGGATCGAGCCTGCAACCCACGCATGTGCCCTGAATGGGAATTGAAGCATGACCTTCTGGTTCATAGGTCGGCGTTCAACCACTGAGCCATGCCAGCTGGGCTCCATGTTTTCTAAAAGGCCTAGAGAACATAGCAGGTACCCCCAACGCTAATTATTATTCTTACTATTTAAATCTTCACCGAGGATATTTTTTCCATTGATATTTTTGGAGAGAGTGGAAATGGGGGTGGGGGCAGAGAGAGAGAGAGTGAAACATTGGTGTCTGATTGGTTGCCTCCTGCACAGAAGCCCCACTGAACTGGTGATGGAGCCTGCAACTGAGGTATGTGCCCTTAACCGGGAATTGAATTCACAGGCCTTTGGTTTGCGGACAGATGCTCTAACCACTGATAAACCAGCCAGGGCTCTGCTGCTATTTTAAATCCAGCACCATATGCTCTGGCTCAGTTGGTTGGGCATTGTTCTGTGAACCAGAAAGGTTGCCAGTTCCATTCTGGGTCAGGGAACATGCCGGGGTTTTGGGCTCAATCCCCTGTAGGGCACATGCAGGAGGCAGCCCACTGAAGTTTCGTTCTCACATCAATGTTTTTCTCTCCCTCTACCTTCCTGTCTCTATAAAAATCAATTTTTTAAAAAATTTCAAAAATATTCAGTGCCATACAACTCTGCAGCATTTGCTGCCAGGACCCTTCTGCCAACAATTCTCCCACCATGGAGGACATGAACTGACTGTACAGCAACACAGAGGAGTTTGCTGAGGGATTCAAGATCAAGGCCAGCAAAAATCAGGGCAACAATAAAATGTTTATCAGAGGTTTGAGCTGTGGTACAAGCTAGAAAGATCTGACTATTTGTCTCAATTTGGGGTAAGTTTGAGACTGCACAGTGGAAACATCTAGTTACTGGAAGACCAAGAAGATTTGGATTTGTGCTTTTCAAAGATGCTGCTCATGTTGATAAAGTTTTGGAATTGAAAGAACACAAACTAGATGGCAACTGATAGACCCCCTTGCCAAAGGACCAATGTTTTAAAAGGGAAGAAACCCCCCATAAAAAGGTTTTGGGGGAAGGTTGAGCCCAAATACTTCTGGAGAACAAATTTAAGACTATTTTGGAGCCTTTGAAGAGATTGAAAAAGTTGAACTTCCCATGGATACAAACAAATGAAAGATGAGGATTTTGTTTTATCACATACAGAGATGATGAGCCAGTAAAGAAATTGTTAGAAAGCAGATATTATCAAACTGGTTCTGGGAAGTGTGAAATCAAAGTTGCACAACCAAAAGAAGTGCATAGGCAGGAACAGAAACAACCAAAAAGGAGGAAAAGTTGCTGCAGCTGGTGGGTGAAGTGGTACTAGGGCCATGGCCCAGGCCAACAGAGCCCTCATGGCAA